AGAGATATTTAATTCTATCAATATCACTATTTTATGTTTATGATAATTACAGCGTATGAACATTTGGTTGAAGAGCAAGGAGTACCACAACAGCAACTCACAGATGGAGATGACCCTTTAAACAGAAAACCCTATCACGATGAAGTGCCGATGATTACAAGAGGTCCTCCACAAACAAACAGTCTTCCACTGGTTAGTAGAGAAATTCTATATTTGCTGTACTCACCTCACCTAGTGCCCATGCTTGACTAAGTGCAGCCCACCACTTACTGTAAAATACTTATTTTTTTCGCTGAAAAGTCTATTTGGGTCTTTTGTATGGAATCTATTTTCTTTGATTTTTGACAAGTTGAAAGTAAAATACAGAAAAAAAGGTATATTCACTGGATATTATTTTCACAGAATCACCCCTTCAGTGAAAATAGCGAAAAATTAATTCTAAGGGAAAATAAAGTATTTCACAGTAATGGGGATTTTTGTCCAGTCACAGGGAAAAAAGGAATTTTTAGTGATTAAAGTTCAGAGATCACACACACACACACACACACACAATCACATTGACATCATTTCAAAATCATTAATTACATTTACATACAACTATTATATGCATCTCTGTAGACCATGTGCTTTTTAAGACGTACGTAATTGGGATAGCTACATACCTTATTGAGTGCTAAATTATTTCACACTCAAAATAGGGTAGATTTGTTGACATTTTCTGTAATTTTCACCAAATTCAATCTTAAATTTAGTTCTCAATGCAGAAAATACTGAAAATATGAATTACCAATGTTTCCCAGCATTATTTACATAAATGGAGTTTTTTGACATATAACAAGTGGTAATTACTAAACACAACCAAACATAAATTCAGCATACATACTAACAAACCCAAGTTCTAGCTGTTCCAACAATACCACTCAGATTTCAGTGACACTTGGTACTAATAAGTCCACAGACATGATTACTCAATGTCTGAAATTCATGTATATTGATAATAAATTTTATTTTATACCCTATATATTTATATTTTATAATTAGTTATAGTCTTATGTTTTTGTTGGAACATAATAATGGTTTAACTACAGACCTTATTCATCTAAATTTATTGTAATTTTATAAGAATCCTTTAAAACACAAATTATTCATTGTCTCCAATGTGCTACTAAGTATCAGTTCATTTCAGGTGGCTATGGCCTCTGAAATTTGACTCCTACATGTATATGATCACACGTCACTTGAGGCAACTAGACACATATATTATAACAACTCGTTTCCCTAGTGTGTTCTTTGTAATTGATAAATTTGTGGAATTGTATATTAGCTTTTTTTGTCTCGCTGCCATGCTTATTTCATGCTGAAGAATTGCCTCAAGTTTAGGTTAATGTGCAACAACTCGTTGATTCCTGTAGTATCTTTTTTTTTTTTATTTCAATAAAACAGAGGTTTATAATATACATTTGTACTCTCCATATTGGTGAAGTTACATGCTGCATTTTCAAAATTACAGTTAATCTTTTTATTATTCGCAATTATTTTGAAAACATTTAAGAGCTGAAATGTGCAAAATGTTTTTTTTAGCCATAAAATTTGTCATTTTCATATGGGAAAATAATGTAATGCAAAGTGGAGAAGGTGGGGTTGAGACCTGCCCTCTGACTCTGAGCTAACCTAACAGCAAGCACACGTAATCACATAAACCATTATTGGTATGCAGTATCATTGAAATATGACTTATTTTGAACATACACATGTAGGTTATATCATTTTATAAACCCAGTGATCAACATACTAATGCAGTCAATCGATGTTAACAAAAACAAGACTACAACTGTTTAATGTATGTATGTCTTTATCTATTCGACAGGTTACCATACCAAATGTTAGTCCTTCAATGGTTATCACAGAGCCTGTGCCTCCAGATCACTTGCCATTGGCCATCTTCACAACGATTTGTTGCTTCTGGCCATTAGGTATATTTGCAATACTCAGAGCTAGAGATGTAAGTAAATGTTTTATTTTATTAATTATTAAATCTACAGTCTTCAGATGAAAATAGAACCAGAGGTTTATATACAACCACTTAATCAAATGTACCGGTAATACTGTAGAATATTTTATTTTTGTTTGGAATTAATTTTCACTATTTTCGCTGAAGGAATGTTTCAGTGAAAATAAAATCCAGCGAATATACCTTTTTTCCTATATTTTCAACTCGTCAAAAATCATTGAAAATAAATTCCATACCAAACACCCAAAAAGTTATTTCAGCGAAAATTAATTCCAGCTGAAATAAAGTATTTTACAGGACACTTTTTTTCATTCACTGTAATATCCTATATTATGCATGAAATGAAATGTAAAAACAAGACAAACGAAGGTCATAGCATATTAATAACGTTAAAACATTGCGTGGAATTCAACAACATGCTATACCCATTTCATGATGGTAAATTTGATGAATTACATTGTAGTGGTATCTCAATGCCTTATTCTTTTGACCATTGAACTTTAAAAAAGATTATTTGATTTTTGTGGCATGCATTTTATTCGCACCTATCATGCATTATATAAGATCTCACAGTGAAAGCAAAATCACCTTTTATATTCCATTGCACTTATTAAATCCACACTGTGTGAGAATAGAACCAGCTGATAATATAAACTCACATTTTTAATCCTATAGTTTATATTCTCACTGACACTGAATAATATGAAACATGGGTCATCAGACAAATAATCAATGAAATGGGATGTTACCAGGAAATGGATTAAACTGCATTGTTGCTCTGCTCTCAGCAACATTTAATATTCCTCGCCAAACATCCCTAATTAGATTATTTCACAAAAATTTGTTAAATTTGTGACATGTTTCCTACAACTTCTGATAAACATCCTTTCTGGCCAAACCAAAACATCCAAAATAAACCGAAGACCTACATTTTTGTAGAAACATTGAGGTTAAAATATAATTTTTTTTAATCCACTAGTTTGAAATGAGATATCAAGATTACTTTGGTCAAGCTCTGAGGTTGTGAAAAATATCAATCATCTTGATTACTTGATTGATATTGACAACTCGGTTTGTCTAACGTACTAGTGTATAATGATAGAGTATCTGGACGTAAGGAGGTTCCAGTCAAACTGTAGATTTAGAGATGTTCATCATACTCTTATTATTATTCATTCATGCCATCAAGATACAAAAAATAAAATAAAAAAATTTGGGTCACCAAAAAATGTTTTAAGATACAAGAAACTGTCATGGGAAATGATTTAAACTGGCATCTTTACATTGGTTTCTATGGTGACTAAATAACAAATTTCCTTTGTGCAAGGGATGAAAAAGTCATATATCATTATTAACATGAATCCTACATTGACATATAATTTAGTGATTTTTCAGGGTGATAGTATTTTTTTATTACCGCGGTAAATAGAATGGGGAGTTCTCTCCCATGATGCATTGCAAATATGTGCAGTAACAAACTCATCAGTGGAAAATTTGAATTCAGCTTGAACTGACTTAAAATGAATTTTGTATGTTTAAATTTCTTAATTTATTTCCAGGAATTAATTAACATACCTTCTAATGAGACAGTTATTTACAGTGTTGAAACGCTCAGTTCCCTCCACACATAAGTTGACCATACAGTACCTATTCCTGTACTGGTACATATGGTTTGACGCTTGAAAAACAAATAAATACTATTATTGAACATGCTTTAATAATAACACACTTAAAAAAAAAAATAATCACATTCACTGGTTTATTAAAATATTACTTTTACTCTTGTAATGGATCAAATATGGTAATTTTATGCACTATCATCAAATCTGTAGTGTACATATTTACCATATGTTTTCTCTGCACATTATTAAATTTGTTGATATCTTTCACAATTATTGTTATCACCACATATGCTAATGTTAAAAATAAGCTCACTATAGTTTACATACATATTGAAGATACCAAATGACAATGTACAATAATTATCAATATATACGAATACAGCCAGATTATCTACTACCGGTAGCATATGTTGATAGACATAACTGTGTTCTGCAACTTTCCCTTGTAAATAATCTAGTATTGATAATCGCGACCAAAATGCTTGATGTATGAAGCCCAGGACTTTGCAAGCAGTGAACATTTGTGGACATTTCTTGCTTAAACTTCATTGTGATTAAAGCCTGACATCCTAGGATTATTGGGTTAGTGT